AAGTAATCTTCGTTCATTTATTCAACGTTAGTAATTTGTTCGTTTTTTGACTTCTGTTTGTTTGCATGGGATTTTCAACCCTTGTTTAAGTCTAATATATGTACGCATTTCCTATACGCCGATCTAATCCAAGATTTATACTAGCTAACTGAGATATTCCAAGAGATTAAAATTTGACTTTGGCTGGCATATGCGTCCACCGACCGTGCGTCTCATAGTCAAAGCTAAGCCAAGCTATCCATCGCATGAATGAATAGGCAAATGCGTCCACCGACCCAAGACTTCCTCCTTCCAGGGACTCTTTTTTGAAGTAGAAACAAAGCATTACTAGCTGAAAATGGGAGGTGGCTAGCCTAGCATACTTGCCACGTTGAGAAACCTCACTTGTTGTTCAATCAATAACAGAAAAGAAGACAAACAAGGCTTTTTGAAGGCATGAATTTGATGATTAATTCAATGCTCAATTACCTTGTGCATTATTGTAGATAATTTGACAAACATTATATGAGCAGAGCAGATATAATTGTAATAATATCTCATCTTCAATCCTCTTAGACTTGACTAGCTAGTATACTAGTACTTCATCATCATCTCATCTTCAATCAACTTTTAATTATTCATATTGCTTCCTTCAATTTCCAATATATCGTAACTGTACACGACATTAAACTATCCTCATCAATCCATAATATACACATATATCCATATATGGCGTTTGTAATACTCCCAAGACTCTGGATTAACCAATGCATATGTAGTCGTGTGATTAATATTAATTCTTCCAAAGGAAGACTCTGGATTAACGGATGCATTATGCATGGTTGGGATTAACTAATTCTTCAAAAGGAGCCACATGCGCCTTACACGTATATAATTGACTTCATAAATATGATATATATTGACCTGGAGAGAGAGAGAGAGCGAGAGAGAGAGAGAGAGAGAGCTTACCGAGGGAACCTGCTGACCGCTCAAACCTCACCCCTGTCTCTCTTGAATTTGTCTTCCAGAAGATGTAGGTTTAGATCCTTCCACTGTTCCACTACCCCTTTTTGTTTTCTGTTTTTGCTAAACCATCTTTTCACTATCTCTTCATTAATTCGTAGGTGAAGGTGGTTAGGACTAATCGTTTTCACAACTTAAAGAGTGTACAGTATTAGCTAGTCTACTTTTTTGGGTGCATAAATATATAAATATTAGAAAACTTGATATAGATTAAATTTCTAATGAGGAGTTGGGTTTAGTCCTCGGATTTGATGACTTTGATTCAAGTCTTTTGACTTTTGTGCCATAGAGAATTACATTCCTTCTAAAATATTTTATGATGTAATATTTTCATTTTTTGTTCCAATGTTGCCCCTTATGACTTGAATCGGGTAATAGTCATTTATGTCATACTGCCTATTACCTATTACATTAGGTATATATATATATTTTTTCATATTTTCGGCAATGTGTTATGTACCTTTTTTTTATAGGTAACATACAATTTTATTTTGTCTATTTTTGTATCTGACTTATAGGTAGTCTTCTAATTTATGTTCATAACTCATATATAGGTAACACGATTTATCATTATATATTTTTCGTTAGTAATAATAACATTATTTACCTTTATGTCAAGTACATAATTTAATGTGGGTGCTTGTCTAATCGATTCGTATAATATGTGGGTCTTTACTTTTTATTGATTAAATTGTATTTTATCCATATATTAGGAATATGATCAAGGAAAGAATTCAAAATTTAAATTCTGGAATTAAATTACAGGGAAATAATGCATTAAATTTAGATTTTCAATGTGTTTTCTTTATTTACCTCAAAGGGGAAAATCTACACAACAAAAAAAGTAATTAATGGACACATCTAAAACCAAAAAGACAAGGACTAAACCTAATAATATCTAATCGTTTCGGACCTAGATATAAGAAGCCCTATAAAATATATGGGGGGTTGCCTTTGTGGTTGATACAGGATTTGTGATTGTGGTCTCTCACAACATTCATTCATATCTCAAGTACTGACTCTTCCTCATGGGTCAAGCAAGAAACAATATTCTCATCAAAATGTTACTCTCTCTTCTCAATCTACTCAGAATCAAGCTACACTACTCTTCCAAACGCGGTCAATATCAAAAGGATAATTATATTCTTGATCATTATCGTGATCACCGGCCCGAGATGAATAGTTTGCCAGCAGCAGCTCCAGCTCCTTCGCCTTGGTGGTTGGTACCATTACCCGTCCACTGCATAGCTGAATCCGTGAAGAACCAACTGCCAGTGGTGCAATACCGGGACTTTCTCAAGATCAAAACAGGCCAACCAGAAGCAGAAGCAGAAGATGACTCCAATAACAATGATCATATGTGTATTGTGTGCATGAATAGCATGGAAGGTAGCCAAGGGTTCAGAAAACTCTTCAATTGTTCACATGCTTTTCACAAGGAGTGCTTAGATGTTTGGATCGACGAGGGTCAGCTCACATGTCCTCTCTGTAGATCTGACCTATTGCCTAATTCCACTCCAAAATCAAATCATCATCATCATCACCATAAGGAGATGGGAGAATTTATTAGAGAGGATCCATGGAGGGCCGAGAGGATGATTTACTTGTTTGGTGAGGATGAGCTTGCCTAAGCCTATAGCCATAGCACCAAATCTTGAGCTCACTCTGTCTGCACCAAGCTAGCTAGTTTTAATTATATTCCATATATGTTTCTCCAAGAGGGAAGCGCAAGGCTTAACGCATATCACGTAGTCTCTTGAAAGTTGTTTTTGTGTTTGTTTCAGAAACAGAAATCAGAAAGCCTTTTACGTATTCTTTGAAGTCTCTCAAACAAAAAAAATTACTCAAAGTTATTGATTTGTTTGTTTAACTTTGTTCTTTGATCTTCATCGATCCCACTTGTCATACTCATACTTACATATATGTATATATTATTATTAGATGTAAGTATATATATAGATAATGGATTTGTCAGAATTGTTTTTGTGGGAGCAAATTTCGTCCCTCTAGAATATTCATCTAAGATTCCTTCGTCTTCTCCACTTCTCTTTCTCCTTGCAAAACAAATTGGGGTAAAAGGACCACACCCGAGGGGTGTTGGCCAAAGGCCCTCCGATGCCTAAGTTAGGTAGGGTATCTCAAGGAAAACTGGGTGCCCAGAGCAGTGTGTGGTGGCCGGAGCCTTGTGTCAAAGAGAGAAAGAAAGTGGTGGCTAGGGTTTGTGAGAAATAATTTCGGCAGAGTTTCAGTAGGAATTTAGACGTACCTTGACCTTTGTATGTGGTCATCCTTTTATAATGGTCTCGGATGCTAGGGTTTCAGAGGAATAATTCCATAGATGGAAGGGAATTATTCCTCCCCTATTTGGAATTGATTTGATTAATTACGGATTTGATTTATTAGGATAAATCAAATCCCTAATTGTGGTAGGTATCAGATCAAATCCTAATTTAATTAGGTAACTCATCATTTAATTGGGAATTGGGGTAGGAATCAAATCAATTCCCAACTTAATTAGGTAATTCTCAATTTAATTGGTAACTCCCAAATAAATTGAGTAACTCCCAATTAAGTTGAGTAATTCCCAATTAGGTAAAATAATCCAAAAAAATAAAGAATTATTTGACCTAAAGTCTGATTTAATTTGGTTTCCACAGTTTTCACAGAGACACGGAAACTGAGAAGAAAATTAAAGAAGGAGGTGGCATGCAAATGGCTGGCCAGGGAGAATAGGATGGGATGCATAAGAAAAGAAAAGAGACGACTTTTTTCATAAGGCACTAATTTGACGGTGTCCAAGTTGTAGACATGCATGAAATCAGACTAAAAGTCCGTCATCCAGTACTCAAGAAAAGTTAAAAAAAGGGTCTGTAGACTGTGTGTGATGGAAAGATTCCGTAACTTGACAAAGTCAAATATGTGAATCAATGAAATGCTCAATTGATGTGTGTACGGTAGCTGCTGGTCATAGTTGACGATCTTGTTTGTATATTATTATTATAAAGATATGTATTCATGTACGGTGTACGTAGTTGTAGATGAACCAAGAAACTGAAAGGAGAGCCCTTACTTACATCGACTGGACTTCATGCGATATTCAATCAATTTATTCATCAAATTGCTTCCTTAGCTAGATTTCCAATATATTATACATATGCATACCCAATTAGTCCACATACACATATACGTAGTGGACGTAGTGGTGGTGTTTATATATTCAGAAGACTTTGGAGTTAATGAATGCATTTACACGTACAGTAAGTAGCAGGATCGAGTGTTAGTAAAAATACAGATATATTTATATATATAGTTCAGTTCAGGCGACGTATCGATCATGTATAGTTTTTACAATGCTTGAGTCACTATCCAATTCCAGTGCCGTATCGGATCCCTTTTTATAGTGAATGAGATTTAGAGTCAACCCAGAATTATACAAATAAAACACGACAGAATCATGCTTGGTAAACATATTTAGTATTATATATTGTGTTTGAGGCCAAGAATAAGCAGTAAGAAACCAAAAAAAAGGGGAAAAAAACACAGTAGGTAGGTAGGGGTTGTCTTTGTGCTCCAAACATTAAATATGTTTCCAATTGGGTATTTGTGATGGTGGTCTCTCAGAACAATAACACATGTATCTGATGATCGGCCAAGCAAGAAACAACAACATGCTCATCAAAATGTTGCTCTGTCTTCTCAATCCACTCAACATGATCAAGATACACTATCACTTCCCTGGTTGCTTTTCCCACGTAGCCCAAGCACTTCTTATGGCCCCAATGGCCCAATATTACGTCAACTGATAAATTAATATGTCAAAAAAATTTCATACAAAGCAATATTATGTGGTGTAGTCGAATACATGACTTCGAATATACGGTAAATATTCATTATTACTTGAGTTACAAGTTCCTTCGCACGATACTTATATTATGTCAACTTGATAAATGCATGATATTCATATAGTCTTTTTTTTTTTTTAATAGATGATATTCATGTAGTCTCTTTTTTGGGTCAAATATTCATATATTCTTGAATGATTGTTCTTGTTGTTTTAATTTATTTATTAATAAATTGATCTACTGCAAAATAGCCGAAGAAACGAAGCGCGAATAAAAATGAGAACAATATACGATACTGATGCCCTCAAATTCCCACCTCTTATTTTTCCTGTTTTCGTCTTCTCCATCTTCTTATTGTCACCAAAATTCTGTCATTCTTTCGATCAAACATGAACCACCATTGTTGTTATTATCATCTTCATAATTTGACATGACACCGCCGCCGCAACTACCAATCAGAAACAACCACACCAACCTTCTCCAAAACCCCAACAACAACCTCCCAACCCTACCCGATCTCCTCCTCACGGCCCTCTCCTTCTGTTTCCTCTTCTCTTCCTCTACCACCAGAGCTACCTTCTTCTCCAAATCCCCATTTCTTCATTTCCCTTCCTCCCCTCGCCGCTTTCTCAAAATCCCCATCATGTCCCTCCACCACTTCTCCACCCCACAGTCCCTTTCCGACTGGCTCAAGCCGCGCCTGCTCTCCGACTCTCTGGCCTCCTGGGGGGTCAAGCCCGGCACCAAAAACGTCCACAACCTCTGGCTCGAGCTCTCCGAAGGCGAAAGCTCTCTAGCCGACTCAACCCCTCCGGTTCGAACCGTTCACGTCGTCACGGTACGGATCATCGACGATAAATTCCGGGTCTTGGTCGAAGCCCACCAAGAATTATCGGATGGTAGCGTCCGAAGCCGAGGCCGGCCCTTATCGGAGAAAATGAAACCTGGCGAGGACCCCGAATCGGCCGCTAACCGGGCTGTTATGGAAGAGCTCGGTTCGATTTTAAAAGGGTTGGTGAAAGATTCGGGAAATAGTGGCATTCTAAAAATTGTTCCGGGTTCGTATGAGAAGAAGGTCGAGGAGCGTCATTCGGCGTCGTATCCGGGCTTGCCGGCATGCTACGTTTTGCATTCGGTGGATGCTTGGGTGGATGGTTTACCAGAAGGAGAGTTTTGCACTGAGGAGGAGCATGAGTATGCGAATTGCGGAGAGATGAGTATTGCTCACGAGGCTGTGTCTGTCAAGAAGCATTTTTGGAAATGGGTTAGTCTTGATTCAGTAAGATCTTGATTTGGTTTTCTGAGCTTGAGCTTAATGTCGTGACTTTTTTTAGGATATGAGAGGGGAAAAAAAAAGACTTCTTCACAAATTCACAATGTAATGCGATAATGGTATGTTTCTATCAATTGTTGGGTTAGAGAATGTATGATGTAGGTCTTATTAAGATACTGCACCTTAAAAATCCTGTAAGATAATGCTATGAGCTTTTTGGCTACAATTTATTGCGTAGTTCATGTCTCTTTTGCCATTTGAGAGAACTGCTTGATTCAGTTTTCAGTTCGGATGTATATATTACTTTTGCTTTGAATCAGTAATGAAGAGAAGTACAAACTTTCTTGTAGGTTTTAAGATTGCGTGGTTGTGGTAATTTTTGCTTCAGCTGTATATCTCCATGTTTTCCTTGCAGGTTTTAGTGTGCCCGATTTCTGACTTGATGATTCAATGTCAAACTCCTTGTTTTGTTTGTCTTTTGGGAGTTGATTACTAGTCACATACTCACACGCATAGAGGGACTTGAGAATGCATTGGCCTTAGGATCCAATAATGGTTTTTGGGGAAGCATGTGATAGAAGGCTGACAGTCATAGATCTCTGAGTTTGCAAATTAAATGAATGAGACCACCTAACAAAGAAGCATACAGGCTACAGCTTGAATTTGAGTAAATTATAGGTGTCGGATTGACCAGTTAGTCATACCCAATGAACTCTGTCAAAGATTTAATCATTTGATAATCTACAAATGAATACTTGATGAAAGTGTTGTGTTTAAGTGAGTGCGAAGGGATTGTGGTTAAAATATATTGGTGTTGCATTAACTTAGCCATTGTTTACAGTTTTTAATAGCTTGTCTCAAAATGTCATAAATCCTTTAGTCAGGAATGGAGGTTCAAATGCAGGTTAAGAGTATAGTAGCAGAGGCAGCTAGTTGATATAGATATAGATAGAGATAGAGGGAGAAGTACTCCAGTGATTTCTATTTACAGCTTCACTTTCTTTTTAGGAAATGGCGCTACAAATCACTCCCTTTGAGTTCTGTAGTTGAATATGAGTTATATATATAACATATGCACTCAAAGGTCTTGAATATCCCATTTAGTGTTTGGTTATGTCTAGGTCTTGAATACTTTATGTCTCTTGCTTCAAGATTTGAAATGGATTTTAGTATTCTTATTCAGTATGCTGATATAATAATTTGGATATATAGAAATCTTCCATCCAGTTCGTGGTCACCCTTGAATCTGGATCAGCTTATTGGAAGTTTTACCATAGAAATGGACCTATGGTTGGTTGTTGCTACTTAAGATCGATTGCCTTGTTGTTCATTAAGTTGTGTGTCAACTAACAACTGTTGCAGTATTTGTCTGTAGAATGTTGACATTTTATTAACTCAAATCATTTGTGTTTCATCTTGAACTTTAGCATTTCACAATTCTATTGTGGTGCCTGTAAAATGCATTGCATTACTACATAGCAGAAGGATTCATAGGCTGTGAGTAACAGAGGCAGGGTTTCGAGTCCTTGTAGTTTGGACACTTTGCTAATCTTTTTGTGTATGGCAAGTTAAGTTTGAATTGAGGCCTATTCATATGTTATGTAGTAGCAGTTAGTTTTGTATGAAAGGAAATAATGTTTAAGATGATGGAAGAAAAACAAGTTTGAGCTCTCTGCTTTTAGTGCTTCTCCCTTCCTGATTCCCACATGGCGCTGTTTCTCTGTCTGGGGAAATAAAGTTGGATGGCTCTTTATATTGTGGAAGGACATAAAAATCCGCTCCCGTTGTGTCACTCTTGTAGTTTTCTTGTAAAATTTATGGTTTTGATTGAATTACCGGATGGATGGTGAAACGCAATTCTAAAAGCAGTTTTGTCGTGAAGTTTGTGAGGTTCTTTCAGCTATTCAGAGTCATTGTGTGGGGAACATATCAGGTAAGGAGACGCTAGCTTTCTTTCGTATCCTTAAAAAGTAGCGTTACTTTTGAAATTTGTGGAACTAGATGTTTTTTCTTTTGGGTTTAGAATTATTTGTTTCCTTTTGCTTTTGAAGACGCAGGGAAAGCTTTTTTTGTCAGCATCTTAAATTTTCAAGTATTGAAGAGTTTCTGTGTTGCAAGATGCCAAGATGCCACGATGCCACGATGGTAGTGCAGCGCAGTGCAGTGCTTGAATGTGAACTAATAGTACTCTGATTTATTAGCTATCATTTGTCGCTTTCATCTGCCATTTAAAGGTTAATTTGCTAATTGAAGGAACCAAAAAGGTTAATTTGCTAATTGAAGGAACCAAAAAGGTTAATTTCAAAGTTAATCAAACTGGAGGCGGTCAAAGGTGAAAATGCATCCACTTCCTCCTCCCTCAAAGGCTGTAAAGCTGTAAAGCCAAAGCATATTACTATTTGTCATGCATTTGATTTGCTCCTATAATCTATTAAAGTCTCTGTTGGGCAGTTCCCTTGTTACCCAAAAAAATTCGATTATAATTTTAAAGCGGTCAATGAGTTGACTAATCCTAGTATAATTGAAACAGCCAAGAGAGAGAGAGAGAGAATAAAGAAGTAAAAACAAATGAGTTTTCTGCACAGACAGAATTAGCACAATTCTGCAGCATATTCAATTGACAAAGCCATATAAATTTCTAAGTCAAGCTTCAAGGAAGATACACCCAAAGATTCTGCCAAAAGAGGCAAAGAAAGAGTCCATATATGCATTAAGCCATTTTCATGTGATTACTAATTTAAAGGCGAGGGTTGAAGTGCAAATTTGGAGATTCCTTAACGAAGAAAATAATGGATTTCTCTCCTTTTTCTCTTCTTTTTCTCGTTGGCATCTCACCTATCATTACCTCTTTTATGTCTTTTTCCGGCAATCCTTCCTTTCTCCTCGTCATGCCCACAAGCACAAGCAAAGTAGCAAAGCAGAACAGCAACAACTCCTCATCCATCCTTGCCTTGTCAAAATTAAACCCACTACTCAAAAAAGAATCTATGGCAACATCCCTTTTCTGAGTTTCTCTTCTCATCACTTTTGGCCTTAAGATACAACAGAGTTAGGCAAGCTTTTCATTCTCACTTATATATGATCAACACATGCAGTCCTATATATCAATCATATATGATTGCTAATTTACAAACACTTCAGAGGAACAGAGCAAGATACAGAAGTGATCAACATGACCAACCAAATATTAATAAAAAACCAATCAATATATAGAAAGAAAAAAAATGTAGGCACGCCAGTCATGATGTCATGTTAGAAGTAGATCAAGTAGTATTTCAGACGGTGGTAGAACACTGAGTTCCTTGCCTTGAAGTGAGTGGACCAGTTGGGATAGAAGGACCAAAAGCCATGACAGCAAGACAGTCCACGTTCACTCTGTACTTCCCGGAGACCCAAGTCCCGACCTTCCATCGTAGCCTCCCGATCACTTTGAGGTTTAAAACCAGTCTACCAGCTGTTTGGTCACGCCCCACTTCATAACCGAAGGAGGGAGCCACAGGCAGACCCGTTCCCACCAAAGAAGCTGTCAAGACATTGCTATCTTCATGTCCTTGGTAGAAGGGAGGAAGAGAAGTGTAAACAGTGATTTGTTGACCCTTGTATGCAGCATACACTTTAAGCTCGTCGTAGTAAATCCCAACTTTCTGGTTTGGGTTCTTGGAAAGCAGAGTGAGCTGAACAGAGGAGTTGAGAAGGTGGCTGCCTGAGAGGTTGAGCTGGTAGATATCGGCTTCTTTGAGTGAGAACTCTGGTTTGGTGGGGTGCAGGATAAGCCAAACAAGTAATATGATAGACAGAATTGTGGTGGAAAGTGTAGAGAATACCAGGAATAGCTTCTTGTAGAGCTTTCCAATGTTCAGTCCTTGCTTATTGCCACAGTGTTTAGGAGATTTTGTGAGGGCTTGAGACATTTGCAGGAAGAGATAAGAGATTGGTTTTCAGAGAGAGAGAGAGAGAGAGAGGATTTACAGGGCTAAGCAAGAGGAGGGAGATGATGGGGTTAATAAAGAGAGCACTGGGAAGCAGGGCTAAGCAATAATTTTGCTCTCTCTTGGACTTTTGACTCCTCGTGGGACTTGGCTATAATATATTTACTTGTAAACTTCTGGAATGCGCTTCGAATACAATTAAAATGTTTAGGTATTAACCTTTATTATGGTATGTTGTTAAACCGTCAATTTGTACTCTTATTAATTTAATTAGAAAGACTCGTGTACGAATGTGTGATTTAGCAGGACTCGTGTACGAATGTGTGATTTAGCAGTATAACACACACTTTTAGATATCTGAAAAGAAAATATTACGTGTTTGCGTAAATCATATTATCAACCATTGGATTATTAGAACATCCATTAATGTTGACCATGTTCCAATCCTTGCTGTGTATCAATCCAACACATCTGGTAGGGTTGTTCTGGCATGATTTATGAATGAGCCAAGCCGGTGTGGGGAGCGAGCTTAGCCTTTTCCTAAAAGCAAATTGGATGGGTTGCTACATATATTCGCCAATTTACTAACTTGCAATTGCAAAAAGTTGCGTGTTTGAATAGTGCGCAGTGAGAATGACAGGAAAATACAGAAAGTAGTGCTACTTCAGTAAACCCCTTTGCGGCTTTAGAGTTGAAAATTTCTTGTTAATTAGGAAAACAGAGTAATCAATTTGCATTTTTATGATATGCCTTGATTGATTCATGAATATTCGAGGGATTGATTCATGAATATTCGAGGCTCCTCTTCATTTCATTCATTGTCTTTTTGTTATTTTCATCTGCATGGGCATGGCGATCACAGTGGTTATTGCATCCAAGGTATAAAATCAGTCAATATCAAGACAAATAAACATGATTCATGAATATACAGGCTCTGTGCTGCTATCTTAGAGAAGCCCTGCAACCAATTTTATTAGTTTAATTAATTTATGTACACTTCTCATATCCCATTATGCTTTAACAAGAATTATAATGTGAATTAGACCTACCATGATGATCAAAAGCAGAGGATACGAAGAATATCTGTCTTAGCCAGAATCAGAGGTTGGAGAAACTTTTGGAATAATTGAGAGGAAAGTGAAGGCTTTTAATTTATAAAAGAGCAATAAGAGATGGCATAGCCAATAGCCGATAGCCTTTTCTTGTTGATTGAATATGAGTGAGAAATGGTGCAATAGCCCCCTTCTCTATCTTTGTCCTCCCTATTTCTAGTAAATGCAAGATGGTCATTAAAAAATTGTGATTAGGGATTAAAATATAATTAACTAAAGGTGCAACCTTGCTTGAGTACAGAGACTGAGAGTTTTCAAGTTCCGGGGTTTTTATATTATTTTTTTCAACTTATTTAGGTGTGCATCAGAAAGAGTTCAAAAGGAGATAAGACATGGAGAATCTGTAAACAGGCTTTTTGGAAATCACTGGGAAACATCATCAATCATTCATTTCTTGGCTTGTTATGACTTTTTGTATCTGTTACTTTTATGTTAAGGAAAGGCCATGTATGGTAGAAGACTGTTAGTTGATGAACCTTCATTGGCCGTTCGATGTGAATACTCAGGAAAAATTGTTGACACCAAAGTGGGGGTCAGTGCCATTGGATGTCAATACTTGAGAAAACTAGGGTTTGGCAGAAAAATACCACTGGTTTTGGTTTGGATTATTATTATGAGGGACCCTCCTGTTAAGAATCTTGAAGAGAATATTATACAAGACTTGCAGGCTTACAGTAGCTCAATCGTTTGAAATTGAGAGGTGTTGGGTTTCTGCTTTTTTGAAACTTTTTCAGGTTTTGAGCCCTTCAACAAAGTCTCAAGAGAAAGCAAATCACCTTAGTGATTTCTCATCTGCTCATCTAATAAAAGTTTTTCTTTCTTCTTAAATTTTGCTTATTTCTTTGATCCGGGTCCAAAAAAAAAGGTCCCTTTATGATTTTGATTATATAACAGGGAAAGAAAAAAATTTATTTTTAGGCTTTTCATTTCATTGATTGTTTAGAGATAACCATGTTCAAATGGGGCATATGATAATAGCCCTTTGGAAATTGGCTCCACCACCATCACCTTCAGCCAATCCACATTTGTGGAGTGTGTGTTGGGTCACTTTTTAGTTGGCCCTAAAATCATTGCATTGGGAAGATAACCAGAGCTAAGAATCTGATAGATCACCAGCAAACTGCTGGTGGTGATGAGACTGACTCTTGTTTATATGCATTTGTAATTTTGTATCTTGATATCTTCAAATGCCAACATTATTTCACCTTCAAAGCTAAACCAGATATGCACAATTTCATCACGGCATGACTTGTATTCAGTCTTGATGGGTTATTAGTACAAGAAAAGCCTTTGAGTTGGTTGCCTATAAACTAACACTTGTTTCGAACTTTTGAATTGGGCTACCCCTTATGGGAAATTACCAACCACAATTAGTGGGAAGAAGGCATGATCATTTTGATGACATGGACGACTTTGAGAAGTCTTTGTTTGGACAATAGTGCCGCACGCAGCAGTAGTGGAGGCTGTACCCAAAGACGTATCTATCTATTGCTGGTAGAAAATGATATTTATGAATTGGAGTTGCAGTGGAGAAATCGCTTTTCGTTCACCCCAATCAGAATTTATATTTGCAAAACAACTGATATTTATTAAGCACTCCAAGATGTCACTGTTTGAAAACACCACCCATTTAAGCTGTTCGAAGGGGCACTGATTTTGGCACTTTCCTCTGTTAAATGAAACACTTCTCCTTCTTGCCGTCTCAAATTACAAGTATATAAATGAAGTCTGTATATAAACTAAGATCTGAAATTCTGAATGAACAAACCTATGAATGACTAAAGCAGCCCTAAGGAAATTTTAAAGGAAACAAAAAATATTTACAACCCTATTTTACAAGGGATACGGTGATAATATGAGTTAATAACGGATATCCACAAACAAGATGAATATGGAAGTGATGTCAGAAGCATCTTCAGGCCTGTATTTTTCTCTTCATCTTTGCTTCTTGGAATCAGATTCAAAAACTGAAAATGGTGTACTGGAGCTATACTACTCATCCTGCTATCTTAATTAACTTCAAGTACAAGAAACTATGTAGTTAACTATCATATGCATTGACATCTGCTTCTGCAGGTAAGGGATCAGTATTCACTTGACGAACAAACTGCCCTTTTATTCTGGGACGCTGCTCTGCAAGTTTCTTTCTGCTCTCGTAACGAACCTGTGAATCAAAAATCTCGTTAAGGAATTATAGACTTACAGCGTAGTTTGGTTTGAAAATCTTCGTTTTTTTGGGGGACTGGGGTTTAGGGAGAGAAGCAATGGCAGTAGTAAAAGTGAGAGTCATTATAGAAAGGATAACGAAGATACTGATGTACCTTCTTGTCATAGCATCTATCTTTCCGCTTCAAGCGGAACTTGTTTAGAGCTGCTTCTCTTTGGATGGACCGATGAGAATTTCCACTGTGAGTAAAGAAAGTGTCTTCATTCTTGCTCTCTGGGGCAGTCCTAAATATAGCTCCCTGATCAACATTGCTATTACTTCCACAAGCACTTCCATAACCCATGGTATTAAGATGACCTGCAGTACCATTACAGAAACTACCGCTTGCACTCTGATCTGTTGTTGAAGAAACATGCCCTCGGTCCTCATCAAATCTTTGATCCTGATTGTGCAAAGTTTGGTCCAAGGGAGCTTTGGCATGTTGATACAATGTGCCGTATACTTGCTCTGATTTATCTTTTTGAAGATTTGCCGGATAAAATGCATTCAGTACCATACCCATTGCCTAGATTATTATACCTTATACCTTTCACAGGAATTGGAAGAGGAAATAGTCTCTGCTCATGGCATGATGTTCCAATTTCGGATTGGTTAGATTGTCCTGTAGCTAGAGTGATAATACTCCTGGGAATACTTGAAGCTGTACCAGGAGTATCGCAATCAGCATTTGTATTGGATGCTTGCTTTTCAAATTTAGTTTCATGTGCCTTTTGTTCATCACAAACACCAGCCAATGTTGTACTCTGGGGCTGCATTGGCCTGTTGATGTATCTGCAAGATGGATCATTGATTCAATTAGAAAATAAGTCCAGTGAAAGAGTAAACTGATGTGCACAAATCACAAAAATCAAGTGCAGAAAATGAAAATGGAAATTCACCTTGAAAAGGCTGAGGCATTAGAATGGCCAAGAGTATGCCTTTTCTCAGTAGTTTGATTCTCAAAGCCACTGGAATCGGATCTTCTCAAGGAGAGATCCAAGTGTGGAGCAGAATCAAAAGTTCTAGGTCTATTACTTGAAGCAGAATTTCTCTGGTTTCTGTTTGGATAATTATTAAATACTCCAAAAAAGTCAGTGGCATCTTTAGAAGAGTTGACAAGGAGATCGTTATTGTCACAAGCTTCACTAGCCATATTAGCATCCCTCCTATGACTTTCTGGACTGACACCCTCGCCTAGTGAAATTGCTGTGTCCATGTCCTCATAGGCATCAACAGTTGGCCCTATAGACACATTGTAAAATGTTAACAAGCCTTCTTACCAGACTGAATAGACAAGAAGCTACTAAATTGGAAAGGCAAAGCTGTAATACCTCTAGCTGCATTTTTGTGCATAACAAATTTCTCGCCAAAATTGATGTTTGCTTCATCTTTTTGCATTCTCAAGTCACCCAGAAAATTTTGGCCCTGTATTTGCTGTGAAAATTCCTGCATATCCACCGGGGCACTCTCAGTTTCAAAGTCCGGCTTCGTGCATGAGCTCTACAAGAAACAGAAAGCATGCAGTCAGTCTACTGAAAACTTCATGTAGCCAACCTAAATTGATTTACACATACATCAAGCATTCTGGGCATTAGATAGGTTGGTCATTACAATTCTACACTTGCTTGACGGGTTGTCAATCCACTTTACAAGGCATTTAAAGACATGCTAATTAATGCTTTCTCTGTGCCATGTACAAAATAGGAAACACAAACCTGAGAATCAGTCCCTTTCTCCATGTTCTCCTTGTTTCTTTGCACAGAAGCCCCACAGCCACTCGAATGATTGCTTGCTGCATCATTTTCAGAAGTGGCTTCATTTTTTTGTTGTCCAACGCTCTCATCCTGGGGGCAATTCCTGGTTAACTGATTGACAATAAAATTCAATAAAGGTTTAGTCAGAAACAGTAAGACAAGATTTCCAAACTAAACTAAAGAAAGAACAGAAAGTTGAGAAGGCATACAGATTGCCTCCTCCAAACATGCTGCCATAGATTTGTCAGCTCATTCTTCCTAATCGGCTTAACGAGATAATCAGAAACACCTCGCATCATGCATTTGTAAACTGTGCTAATTGAATCTTGGGAGGACATCACTGCAAGATCACAAAAGAAGTGCAAATTCTTTCGTTAAACACCACTGCGGTGAAAAATCAAATCAGTTATATGTCATATCCACTATTATTTGTTTTGTAAAACATACTTATAACAGGAATGTTTTTGCAGATCTCATGGTCCATGATTAGCGAAAGCAAAGCGAATCCAGATATTGACGGCAGATCTATTTCTGTCAGTATGAGGTCTATGTTATGCGGTCGTGCCTTCAGTATCTCCCACGCTTTTAAGCCGTCAGGTACAGCAGCAACTGCTCAAACAAAAACAAGATCCATATGAAGTTCAATGAGTAATGTGTCAGCCTTAACACAGACCCTTAATAACACTAGCCTAAAAAGTTTCTTGCTTTAGCAGAAAGTATAAGCCTTCTAGCAATAAAATCTGCAGTATATTATCTGTACTACTAACAAGAAGCAGCAAATGCCAAAAAAAGTGACTTGAACCATTAACCCCTTTATTCAATAAACTCGAGACACGTGAAAGTAGAACTTAGAACTAGACGTCTTCCCGGTTATGGTTAATTCTAAACAAATTTACTACTATTGGCCTATGTTCCTTGTCAGCACAGGCTTCAACTGCAAGCTAATTCAACAAAATTCTTCAATTATTCATCCGCACAGGCCCAGAAATTGAATACCTAATCTTTATAATTAAGAAAGAAAAAGAGAGAAAAGAAAGAAAAGAAAAGCAAATCATCTAACTCATTATATGAACACAAGCTTAACTAGCACCAACAAACGATCGCCAAAAACATCCCAGTTGATTATTTAGCAAAAGACGCTAGATAATTAAACAAAACCAAGACTTTAAGCAAAAGCAACAACAGCACAGCAGAGCAGCCAATAAATAAAAGAGCCACTGACCTCTGTAGCTACATTTCCTAAGAAGCGCAGCTATAATATGCCTGGTGGAGTCATCAGCTTCGACCAACAAGACCCTCATGTTCATGGTAGGCAACAGCTTATCCCACCTCATTGTCCCAACTGAAGAATCACACTCACCCCCGTCCTTCTTCTCTGTCTCTACCCTGTCTTTCTTCGCTTCACCCTCTGCTTTCAGTTTCGCTTCCATGTCCTCACTACTCAGCACAGCCTCACCCATTTTCTATTTTCGATTTTCTTCTCTGTGTCTTTCTCTTTGTCTCACGTTGGTCGAACCCACGGAGGAAACAGAGAGTCTTTTGTGTCTCAGTGAAGGAGCTGGAGAATTCGAATTCTCAACATCTGAATCCTTGGCTAAAAGGAGAGAACTTTTTCTCTGCTAAAAAAATATCTGAATTCTCAGTCCGAAGTCTAGCGAAGGTAATCGGACGGCGACGATACCGATTCCCACGAAATCTAACGGTGTTCAATATCTCAACCTACTACGAGAGGGGAAAATATCTCGAACAACTGTTCTGGGTGGGACCTGGTGGTGCCACGTCATCAACCCAATCTGATACTAGTGCCATAGATTGATCAAAAGGCGAGGCGTCATTGGCTTCTGCATTTGGTGGTCCAGATTTTAAAGAAATCATTTTTTTCTCGGAAGATTTTTTGCGTGGAGACAGGTGGCAAGGTTGTGGGTCCCTGGAGGGAAGATATAATATTAAGATCTTTGGCAGATATTTTTGAGTGCAGGAGGAGGAGGCGATGGATCCCATGGACAGGATTGAGACACGTGGAGCACTAGTGGGTGGAAGTTCATTTGTGGCCTTGAACTCTAAGGTAGTCAAGGGACCGAGCAATTGGGTGGAGGTTGGCAATCTCAGACTCAGACGCTGTACTCGCTTGACTATTAGGGCATATAATGTGTGGTTGTTAGGCTGTGATTGGGTAAAGGCCGTTGACGAATTCTATTGGATACGACTAATATATATACAAATTTATAAATAAACTCAATTCTAGACATGTATTTATAAAAAAACTCAAACACTATTTAAACATAGAAACACACCCAAAATCAACCAGAAAGTCAACAATTGTATATTTTTTTGGTGTGTTTATAAATTAGTTTTGAGTGTGTGTAATGATGGGTTTTGGGTGTTGGGTTTTTTTATAATTTCAGCTTTCATTTTGAGTGTTTTAGTGAAACTCCCTTAATACCCACATTGCCATTGGATTAAAGTATTTATTTATTTATTTATTTTAATAAACCGACATTAGTGACTCTAAATCCTTCATTATAGCGACTAATAATATTTGTTTAATGGGATGATGACAAAGATCAGTAGAGAGGATAAAGATTAAAGACCCCTCCATTTACTCTCTTTTTTTCTTTCATGGGCCATTGTCCCGTGCTAGATGGCATCCATCCATGCATTCAGTCCCCATATTCTAAAAAGCTTTGTGTGTTGTGTGATGGTCATCTCGACATCGCATCATTTTCCATTTCAATTTTTTTGTATATAACCTTCCTTAAACCATACTCTTCGTTTGCACCATGATTGACTTAATTAAATTTATAAAATAATGACTTGGGTGTCTACCAAATACGTATTTGCTTCACTGTTCTATATTAATGTACTTTATTCCAACCAAAGATGACGGATTTAAATTCGTGAATTATTCTACTATTAGAAAAAGAAATACCACTAAATTTACGGAAAAAATATTAAAATCTGTTGTTACGTCTTAGCGATTTATGTAAGAGTCTTATGAACCAAGATGGAAAAGCGGGTTTGGGCTGTTGAGTTGGAAGTTGGAATTAAGATGGGCCAGACCTAACAAAATGGAATTGGGACAGGCTTCATATGGCCAGGCCCGGACAATTAAATTGGGACGGGCCACCTCCGGTTTTTTATTATTTATTATTTTCAATAATGAAAAAAAAAGTTCCAACTTTGACACATAATTCTCACGCAACGGACAGATATTTATGTGGTGTTTTTATTTTTTTTTGGGTTCCAGTATGTGGTCTGCCATATAACATGTTGGACTAATCGTATCCAGAGACATGCCTATCCGAACGGGAAGGATTCGGACAAATGAAATTTTGGCACTCAACAACAAATGGGTTGGGACGAGGAATCCAACGTACCATAACCACGAGCCATCAGGCCCATCACTACAACACAAACACGTGTCGGTGGGTCCCCCTCTTTGAGGCATTGAATGTAGACGTTGAATCAACCAAAGAAAACCATCCAATCTACACCGTCCAATCACGTAAGTACAGAAGATATGCGGTTAAGATTTCTACTGTGTCTTACACTTAACTGTAGAGGATGAAGTGGATAATGTGTGAAATTGCCACGTGTGACGTGGCATATCCATTTCTGTCATCTTGTCCGCTTGCTCTAGAACCCATAACTCTCTGCTCCTAAAACCCCTCTCATTGCCCCACTATTTTCTTTCATTTTCCTTTCAACTTTCCATCTATCCAAACACTTCCAGAAACTTATCCCAAACCTAAATTCTGCGAGTATCACGAAATGGCTAGTCTGTTTACTTCCTTGCAGATGCAGACAACCTTTCTTTACCCCCTTCACCCCTCTTCCTCTTCGGCTTCTTCTCAATCAATGGCCACTCTCTCATCGACGCTTCTCACAAAGCCCCAAGTCTTCCCGCTATCGTCTACCTCTTCCACTTTCTTCAACCCCTCTAAGCATCTGAAACCCATTTCCATTGTGATTAGACCCACAAACAAGTGCCATGGCAACTCACTCTCTGTACGGATGTCCTGGGATGGCCCACTCTCCTCAGTCAAGTTGATCATACAGGGAAGGAATTTGGAGGTATATAAATTTTTAGCTTACCTTACCTCTTGTTGGTTTTACGCGGCGGATAGTTTAAAGTTTGGGCTTTTCAAGCATTTTGTGAGGTTTGCATTGTTTTCTGTAATGTATATGTTTTGGACTAAGCCTTACAGAGAAGACTTGAATTAAATCACATCTACTATGATCCGTTCATGTTGTTCGTCGAAAAGTACATTATGTGTGGAAAATTAGAAATCTAGGTTATATTTTGTAAATCCCGTTCTGATAAATTGATTAGGTGTGGTGATTTCCAAGGCATTTTTTCATGTGATCAATGATGTGATGATGACTATTGGTTGATGACCTTGATTCTGGTGCTGTTTCTATCCACAATGCTCTCCTCTAATTATACAAGGAGTGGACTTTGAATGTTAAATTTTTATCTGTGAATTTAGTTATCTGAAGCGGTCAAGAAGCATGTGGAAGACAAGGTTGGCAAGGCAGTTCAAAAGCATAGTCACCTAGCCAGGGAAGCTGATGTTCGGTTGTCTGTTCGAGGTGGAGAGTTTGGAAAAGGCCCAAGGATTAGGAGATGCGAGGTATTATTACCCTATGCGCATTGGCATGAATAGTTTAGGTAATCTGGAATCGCCATAAATGGTTCGTTCATAAGGCATTGTGTATTTGTGTTTGCTTAGGTGACTTTGTTCACAAAGAAGCATGGAGTGTTCCGGGCTGAGGAAGAAGCTGAGACACTTTACGCAAGCATAGATCTGGCTTCTTCTATCATCCAGAGGAAGTTGAGGAAAATAAAGGAGAAGGACTCAGACCACGGTCGGCACATGAAAGGTTTTAACAGATTGAAAGTTAGGGAGCCCGCAACACAAATGGTGGTGGAAGAGGAAGAGGAAGAGACAGTTCCCCAAGAGGAGGAAGGAGACTTCATCAACGACGAGGTTTTCCTCCAAAGTTATTCAGTTTTATATTTGACATGTGTTATATCACATTTTATACTGAATTGTGGTTACATCTTCTCTTTATTAATGGTTTTTTTATTATCTAAAATTGAAAAGCAACTTATAGCATTAGAAATTGTTGATTGTGGTATACGAAACGGATGGTTAGTTCATCTTAGTTTTCAAAGGCCTTGCTGTAAGCACGGCGGATGTTTCTGCTTTTAACATTTTGGATATTTCTACTCATAACATTATAAAGAACTGCAGGATGGGATTGAGTTGGCACTTTGCTTCTTTTTGCAATGCAATCGTGCAAAAGTTGCAGAGATAAAGAGTTTTTGTGTTGTTGTTGTTGAGTAGTGCCGATACTCGTTAGACTGCTTTGGTTAGCTAGCTAGATGACGTTCTTCTCCATCATATACTCATTCTTGTCTTCTTACTTGTTCTAGATTGTCCGTATGAAATACTTTGACATGCCACCCTTGACTGTCGCTGAAGCAGTTGATCAACTGGAAAATGTTGATCATGACTTCTATGCTTTCCGAAATGAAGAAACTGGTATGAACTATAAAATCACAGGTGCGTTATTTTCTTTGTTCTTGATTACTAACAACCAGTGGTTGAAATTTTTCTTTGTTCTTGCTTAGGTGAAATTAATATAATATACAAAAGAAAAGAAGGAGGTTATGGGCTTATTATACCCAAAGGAAATGGTAAAGCTGAGAAATCGGGGCATGTGGTGATAGAACGAGCTAGAGAACATTCCTTGGCAGAATAAAGAGGCCTAGCAAAGTGCAATCCTTCTGTACAGTTACGTTTTCAAATCCCCTCATAGATTCCTGGAGGCAACAGAGCGTTTAAAGGCGGAGGCCTGATGCGACTCGTTGATTCAGAGTTTGAGAGGCATAGTTTTGTAACCTATGGATGAAAGTTTCTGCGGATGTGCAATTACAAACAAAATTCCATTGGTGCCCAGCACAAAGGAGGCTGATATTACATATTTTACTTTCATTGCATATACATTTGCTCAGTCGTCTCTTCCTTCTCAGTTGCCTAATGCTAATTGAGATTTAACATAACATCAATGTGAAAAAGGCTGAACGAGAAAGAGTGACAGAAAAACCAATACAGATATGGAAAAGATTTAATATGTAACCTGTCAAAAGGTGTCGCGACTCAATCCTTTTTCAAAAGGTACATTATTTATCCGATAAAACTTCCATTTCCTCGTTGAGATTCTCATTCTCAACAACATATGCTGGCTTGTTTGTCGAAAATCTCTCGGACGAAACAGTTAAGAGCTTATTCAGAGACATTCCTTCCCCTAAAACCTTCTTCCTTAGTTCATACCTGGCTTTGATTCTGTCATCAAGTTTGTAACCAGGGAATGCCGGAAAGTTCAATAACTCTACAACTTCACGACCAATCTCATTTATCAAGTACTCCATCTTCTTCTCTATAGCACTATGACTGTATTGCAGTATCTGTGGATGCTTCGTGCTCATGATAACAATGTCGCCGCACGAAAGCCCATAACTCAAGAACAACCCAATTACCTTTTGCAAATTATCACAGCTTGTCCTGGTGGCGGATCCCATTGCTGCAGCCATGTCCTTGGTTCTATATTTGTACCCAATCTTCACCAAAAAGGTAAGTTTATATGCAAGGTTGTCTTCAAATGACAAGCC